TCACTGAAGTGGGTTAGTTATGGGAGTGGGTAGTTACAAGGTGAGCCGTGTCCCTGGTGCCTCTGCCTTGTGCACTTGCTTCTGCCTTCCACCATGGGATGACTCTTGTTACATGCTGGTACCATGCTCTCGGACTTCCCAGCTCCAAAACCATGAGCCAAATAAACTTCTATTGTTTATAATTTACCCAGTGTGTGGTATTCTGTTACACCCACAGAAAATGAACTAGAGCACTAGATGAGGGCAATGTTCATTTATTTGGGAGACTAGGGCTGGTACAGTGGAAACAAAAGTCACCCAGAATCAGGATAATACAAAGGCCTACTAATAGATTCCTGGGAAAGGAATACCTTATATAGCTGTTACCTATATCAGATGTTACTGCATAAAACGACCACTCCTGCGTATTGTCCTTTACACTCTGCTTGAACACCCCCAGGAAAGGGGAATTTACTACTATTAGAGTATTATCCCCATAAGCAATATGACCAAGTAAAATCAAAACAGCTGTGCCTGCCAAGACGAGCAGGATGTACAAACAAAAGGGAAACAGAAAAGAGGTACTTCAGGATCCTACACAACTTTGTTACCAGAAGGTCACGGGCATGCTACAAAAAGGAACTAGCTGTTTTGGGATACCAGGTGCCCAAGAGACTGCTCTAATTTTAGAAATAACACAGTGCTTACTAAAGAGGTCCAGGACTCACGGGTCTGCAATGCAACGTTCTTTCACCCTCAGGTTGTGCATACTCATGTTCTGTTGCTGATTCTGTTCCAATTATTTTCTGATATTGAGGGAGGGAGGACCAGACCACCGAACTGGCATGTGCCTGAGGAATCTGCCAAGAATTATTAAGTGATAACTTAAAGAATAAATTATTTAAATGTACAGAGAGTTGTAAATTTACAGAGTTGCAGATGGCCACTGCCTGCCGGGCTAAGAGCTCATTTTCATAGTGGCCTTGAGCTGATATCCTCTGCCTCTCTGAATCCATCCTCTGCCCTAGGAGGCTGACCTCTGCTGGAGACATCCCCTGAGCCCCTCTGCATCTTGTGGTTGTGTTCAGCCAATGGGGAGCACCAGCAGATCAGAGTGAGGAGAGAAAGAGGTTAAGGTGCCTCTACTCTGCTCTCTGGCTGGATCTGTGTCCCTGCCTTCTCTGTCCTATAGTTTGCAGCACAATTTTCTGTCCTTGTCCTGCTGGGCCTAGGAGTGCTGCTGACAGCTGGTTTCTGGGTGGCTCACCACCCCTTGTTTTTACCCTTAACACTCATACCTCTGAAACAGACCTTCATTAGGGTCATCTCTTTATTTGAACCAAGTGGGAATAAATTTTATTTCCTAAGAGACTCCTTGTTACTATTATATCTTGCCTTGCTAACATTCCTTCTGTCTCTCCCAATTGTTATCAAGCCTGGAAAGCAGCACACCCCATGTTACTGTCTCAGCATTAACTCTAGGGGACCTCATACCCTCATTCAGTTCCCCTGTAAAAAAAAAAATGATGACTTTGCTTACATCCCCTGGAATTTTAAGCCTCTGTGGACCTGTGAATCAGTGTTTATTCAACAAGCTTCTCTTACACAGTTAGACTGTTGCCTGGAATCAGAGCTTGTTTGGTTCCTGAGCTTTTCCTGCATTAATGTGTGAAATATGCAGTCTTTGTACCCTGGTGGGATAGAGGAACATTTCAACCTACAGCATATAGGATATAGGATCCTAGTTTAATTTTGAATGGTCATCCCCTGAGTTCTTCCTCCAAAGCCCTAGCTAATAAATAATATTTTTGTCCATGCAGGAACTTAAAGATTGTTTTTAAAGTGAGAAATGGGGAGATACCAGTCAAAGGGTACAAAGTTTCAGTTATTCGTGATGAATAAAGGCTGGAGGTCAAATGTATTGCAATGTGACTATAGTTAACAATACTCTACTGCATACTTGAAATTTGCTAAAAGGAAAGATTTTTAAATGTTTGTTCTCACCAAAAAAGAAAAAAGTAGCAACTATGTTAGGTGATGGCTATGTTAACTGACTTAATTGTGGTGATTATTCACAATGTCTAGCTAAGCATCAAGTTGTATACCTTAAATAAATATCATTTTTATTTGTCAATTAGACTTCAATAAAGCTGGGGAAGCAAGCTACCTCCTTAGGCCTGCATTAATTCCCTCGAGCTCTTTCTTAGTATTTATATCCGAAGGACTAACTTTCTATTTATACATAGAGGGGGGCCTCCCAAGACCTAGAGACCCCTCATTGCTTTTAGGCATTCATGTTGCACACCAGCCCAGGGAATATTTTACCAAGTTCATACTTGTTTGAATCTTTTGTTTATTTATAGTGACAGTAACATATTTGGCACTTGCACGTCCTCCTAAAAGCCTGATAACCCGTTATCTTGTGCTATAAGCGGCCTAGCTTTCACTAAGTTAGCAATGAGGGTTGGAGAGGGCAGGGAGATGGGGAACATTCCAATTAGCCAACAGTTTCCTAATGCAAGTATGTCTGTGGCGCAGCCACGTCGCCTACCAAGGAAACCTGTGAATTCACCACGGAAGCTGTCAGGCCAGCTTAGAGGCATCTGTGATGAAAATCGTGAGTTACTTCTGGAGTAGGCGATTGATGTTTCAGATGGAAGATGATTTTGATGGAATCCAAGCTTGCTGTGATCAGAGTTAATAGGGATAATGATGATGATAATGATATTTACATTATCTCTTTCTTCCAAAGAACCCTTCAGTTCTTTTATCTCATTTGCCTTGAAAATGTCCCTTTGGAGTTGGGAGGGGAAGGTGTTATTAATCTGTTCTTCAGGAAAGAAAATATAAAGAGACTTAATTGCCAGGCTTTCAGGCTCCATTTTGGTAGTAAGAAGAGATATTTAAATAACAAATTAAACTTGGAGAAACACCAATCTTTCTCAGTTCCCACTGATCCTATATAATGCTGCCAGATCAAGCTCCAATAATATTACTTCTTGACCCAAAAGTCTTCAGGGGATCCTGGCAGACTGCCAAATTCAGTCCAAATATCCTAACTCAGCAGGCAAGCCCCTCAACGTTCCAGCCTATGTTGCCTCACCATGCTCTTATGTTTACCCTGTGTTTCAGCCAGATAAATTGGCTTGCTCACCCCTTACTGCCTGCTCTGAGCACCCCATTCTCCTTTTATAATGTTCATTCCCCTTGCCCCGACTTGTTCAATGTCTGTCTTTCCTGTTGCATGTACATTCCAGGAAAGTAGGGACTGTCACCACTGTATCCTCAGGGCCTAGCAGAGTTAACTGGCATGTAACCGGCTCAAATACTTGCTTCTGAAGTGCACATGATGCTCTTCCACCTCCACGCCTTTGCTTCTGCGGCTCCCTCGGCGTAGACGACCTATAGTCCCATCTCAACCTATTGAAGCCAGAGCTGTCCTTCCAAGCCTAGATCAAAGCCCAATTCCTATGTCTGCCTCCCTGACTTGGGAACAGACACAGCATTGTTCTTTTGTAGTTTGTACCATCTAGGTACAAACTCTATCATAATAATTTGTGTAGTTGTGTAGTCATTCTTCCCTGCCCCTCCCAAACCATTAACTCTTGAGAGAGAGGAGATGTACCCCAGAGCCTGGCAGAGTACAGGCACTTGTTAAATATGTGCTCACTTGTCTAAAATCACTGATGACCAGCATTCTTCAGTCAGCAAAATTCCCACTTCCAGAACCCCCGCTTGTGACGAGAGGGTATTTTTCTGTTTCCTCTCCCTTATTCTTTCCAAGGTGGGGAGGAAGCTCAGTCAGGGAATCCCTGCCAACTCTTCCTTTAAAAAGCATCTCCCTTTCTCCTCTGTGAGGAGCAGTATATCTGGCATGGAGGTGGAGGGCTCCATTTCCTACTGGGAACCACGGCAAGTTTGCAAGGTGGCATTTGGCATTTTTTAGCTTCACTGCCAGTGACAATCTAAATAATGCAGAAATAATCAATGCAACATCAACTGAGAAGGTGTGATTAAATCAACAACCTCCCCAAGGAATTTTAGAACTACTCTGTGCATCTGATGAGCATTCGCACAGATCATTCAGTTCTCATAAAAATACACCAAGATTGAACTAGCTCTGGGGCTGGGTGAAAGCTTAGAAGCAGTGCATTTTTGATAGATAGACTGAAGACCCTCAGCTAATAGCAATGTGGGCATATTGACCATCTGGGATGTAACACTCTGTATAATTTAGAAAGAGCTGCTTGAATAACTGTGTTGTGGAATATGCAGGGCTGTTAAAACTGATGATGTAGATCTACATTTGTTGAGATGGAAAGATGCCTACAATATTGCTAAGTCAAAGGAAGGAGACTTCAGAACAGCATGATTATGTAAAATTCCATATTTATACTCATCTCTATTTACAGATCTGTGAATAGTCTCTGAAATGTTAGTAATAGTTATCGCTGGGTGATAAAATTGTGGAGTAGTTTTTTCTTTTGTAGATTTTTGTGTTGCTTGAATTTTAATAGTAAGCAGTTATTTTTACAATCATCAAAACAAAAAAATACAAATTGAAAAAACTTGTTGGAAATAAAAAAGCCTCAATTTTTAAAAACCTTCAAATTTTTAAAAAGATGCTTACTATAAAACAAACAAAAACCAAACTCTTCTATGAGCAAATAAAAAAATCATTCACCTGCCTCCATCACTGAACCACGTAACTATGTGCTGACTGTGGTTAGCAGTGAAAGGGAAGAAGGGACACCGTCTGAGGAGAAGCACCGGGGAACACAAGGTCTCCTGACTTACTGTGCACAATGGGCACACTTGTTAAGTGCCTGAAGTATGAAGTATCACTTCAAATATTATTTTAATCCAAGCTTTGATGGCAATTGATTTATAGGTACAGTATTTTTCTAAGTTCATAGCCTAAAGGACAAGAGAGAAAATATCCCATGACTGACCGCAAAGAAACGATGACTTCACTCCCCATGGCAGTTTCTATTGCAAAGAAAAGAGACATACGCTGTTGATCACAGTACAACTCACACTTTATTCCATTGTGATTGGTATACATGTAAGACTGAGACGGCAAGAGACTAAAAATCAGTGCAGAACTTCTCTGAACTAAAGGGCCGTGAAAGGCATGATTGGTTTTGGCACACAGAGCGAATAACTATACATTGGCTGGAATGAGGTGGTCAGGAAAATAAAATGCACAAATCTTAACACCATGTTGAAATCACGTCTGAGTTCTGGAGAATGTTAAAGGGTAAATAATTACAAAGACTGACATGCAACTCTTTACCTTACATTATTCATCTACAGACTATTTTTCTCCCTCAGAGATGAGGAGATGGCCTTAGTCATCTGTTCACAGCAGCTGAGAAGACCAATCAATGCACATTAGAAAGATCTGCCTGATTTCTACAGTAATTCATTATAGCTGAAGAAATAATGCTAAATAATGTATTTTCTATGTATCATCCTTTAACTAAATTGAATCGCATCACCCAAGTAATTCTGACTTAACTTTTACTTAAATATAATTTCTCATGTCTTTTAATGTCAAAAAGCAGTTTATGTTAGTGATCTTTGCCAGATCCATCGTTGTCTATCACAATGGACAAGAGGAAAACGTATGTGATAGTATATTTCCTTTTCAAAAATAACATTATGCTAATTAGAACGTCAAAGAAGTAATATGCTGCCAGTAATTTAGGTTTTCACATCATCAATCACATAGGGAGTCCAAAGAAGCCAGCCTAGCATGTAACGTATCAGAGCAGAATGCACTGTAGAGGAGGCACACAGAGTCTAAGTGATTTCTCCAAAGAGAAGGAAAGACAGAAAGAAGCAAAAGAAAGGAAAAGTGAAAAACAGAACAATTTGTTACAAAAAAAAAATCTATTCACTTGCAATTGATTAAACATAATAGAGAAGAGTGCTTTGATTTGAGATGATAGAAGTAAAGATATTAAAAATTATATGCCAGTAAGCCTGAACTGGCTGATTGGGTCATTTTTCCTGTGGTTGTTTTTGATTATGTTGAGCTCTCATAGGGAGAATTTTTGCTTTTGCCAATGTAGGGCCAGATTTAAACCCAAAGGGCAACCTTAACTGCTGAGAACATTTTTTCTTTGTTAACTTGGGCATGTGGCTAACATTCATTCTCTCTCTGGTAAAAAGAGATTATTCATCGCTGATGAGATGGTTCAAAATATGACAGTGACCAAGACGTGGTTTATTCACAGGATGTACATAATTGGATATTTGCATGTGGTATGAATTAAAAAGTTAAGCAACAAGAGAAGGAGGAGAAAAAAGCTTTTGCAAATTTCTGGCATAAAATCCTCAAATAAGAAAGATAGTGGTTAAGGATGTCTTCATTTTCTCAGAGGTTTTTCTCACTTCCATTTGCTATGGGGGAAATGAATGAAAGTAATTCTCTTCAGGTCACCAACATAAGGAATATTTCTCTGCCAATATAGAGGTTAGCAGAGCAAGACCTGAAATGATATTTCTTAATCTCTCTGATTCTTAAACAAGCCACAGCAATACAGGAAAGGTGGAGATGACTAGGAAGTGTGATAACGTGCCTGGATCAGTTACCATTCCTTGGAAAGTACCGTTTCCCCAACCTGTTAATAGGCTGATTCCTGCAGGTTTGAGTAAAGGAATCATCTCTTCCTTCAGTGCTGCATTGTTCTTTGTAAGAGACCCATGTCAGTTGAAAGTTGTGTAATTTAAAGGCTAGAGAAGAAAGAAATTTAAATTGGATTCCACAGTAAATATTCATGGCATTTCCAAGGAGAATTGTCCATTGTCTGGGGTTGGTTTCAAGCGTCAAGGCCATCGCTTCCTGAACACGTTCATTGATGAGGACCTATTTACTCTGCCTCATACTAGACTACCAGTAGTCATTTTTAGACATGATGTCTCTTTTGAAAGAAATGACTTTGCTAGACCAGGATAACTGCAAGGGGTTGACGACTGGAAATGGGTGAGTCAGGGTAGTTGGAAACAGAAATGAGTTGAAGGAAAAAAAAAAAGAGTTCCTCCAAGGTCATATATGGTCAGTAATGAAGCAAAAATTCATGGTATGCGACTTAAAGATTTTCTAAGACATTGCAGCCATGGGATGTTTCCAAGCCTCTGATCTTTAATCTCTTAGCAACCTTCTGATATTAGATTTACCTGCCTAGGTGTGGTGCCCTACTTCTGGAATTTAGATCTCTGGGGCAAACCCTGTCAGGATGTGCCTGTGTGTAGTTAACACTGCCTCAGAGGGCAGCTCTGATTTTGGTCACAGTTCTGCTGAGGAGCCTGTCTTCCCCTGGTGGGGGTTGGGGGAGGGCTGTTAGTGGCAGATGTAGTCAGAGGCAGAAGAGACCAATGGCAGACAGGGTGGACCTGCAGGAAGGCAGCCAGAAGGAAGGACCTTGGGTTTTACCCAAGGTCAAGGTGGCTGTGATAGAAGAGAGAGAGGCAAAAGTAACTAACTGGATAAAAAGTTTTCAGAATTCAGAAGTAAAAAAGAAAGGAGGATTGCTGGACCAGGGAATTTCACAGGAACCCAACATGATTCATGATATAGAGGGAAAAAAAAACAAGCTTATCTGACTGATCAAGAAGACATTCTTCAGAATATATTGGCAACTAAACAATTTTCACACCAATAATACAAACACTAAATGAGTGTTTTCTTACTATGCTTAATCACATTTGATAATTCATTAGCTCTGTATCTTCTAGGTTGCTTAATTCATTTAGCAAATCCACAGCTTAGGTACCACCGTGAGGGGAGGGAGGGTGGGGGTGCTGAATGAAGCAATTCAACTTAGAATCAAATTTTGTAAACAAGAGTTAGTAGCACAGTGGCACAGTAGATTGTCAAGGAAAACAACGGGAGTGGGCACAGAGTCATCAGCCTTGCCTGTGCGGTCTTGCCGGCTACCAGGGGTGACTCTGCAGCTCAGGAGTCTACCTTCTTGTTAATTAAAACTGAGCAGCAGGTGAGCAGCCCGTCCACCTTTTCCAGTTCAGACATGCTCACAGGGATCAGCATATGGTCCTTCAGTTTCTCATAAACCTACAGTGAGAATTAAGGGAAAGGAAGCAAAGAAGGATTATGTTTCTGCCTGTTTTACCATCCTCAGAAGTGGAGAATCAATTTGATTTGTGCATCTAGGCTTTTCATTCATTTAATCCCAAGACACACATGTAGTCTCAACCACACACATGCCCACAGTCATCCCCACAGAGCTGGTGGCAACTGGTTAACCACTAGCTCTGTGCTTTAACCTCAAGGCCAAAGATGTGTCAGAAATGTGGTTTGGCTACAGGTGCCTTTACTCTGCCATTGTCACTACTAGATTAAGTGGTATGTGGAAGTTGGTAGCCACGTGTTCAGTGTGAATATTACTCTCTTCACATTTTATTTTATATATTTTTGGAGACAGGGTCTTGCTCTGTCGCCCAGGTTGGTGTACAGTGGCACGACCATGGCTCACTGCAGTCTCAACTTCCCAGCCTCAAGCAATCCTCCCACCTCGGCCTCTTAAGTACTTGGGGCAAACAACAGACACACCACCATGACCGGCTCATTTTTATTTTTTATTTTCTGTAGAGACGGGGTCTCACTATATTGTCAGGGCTGGTCTTGAGTTCCTGGGCTCAAGTGATCATCCTACCTTGGCCTCCCAAAGTGCTGGGATTACAGGCATGAACCACCACACCAGGCCTTCTCTTCACACTAGCTGGGCATGGTGGCGTGTGCCTGTAATCCCAGCTACTCAGGAGGCTGAGGCAGGAGAACTGCCTGAACCCAGGAGGTGGAGGTTGCAGTGAGCTGAGATCGCGCCACTGCACTCCAGCTGGGTAGCAAGAGCAAAACTCTGTCTCAAAAAAAAAAAAAAAAAAAAAAAGAAAAAAAAAAAAAAAACCTTCTCAGCTATACTAAGTTTATTTTCTTAGCAACACCACTGGAAAAATTTGACAAGATATAATGTAAGTATTTCAGGTTAAACTGCTTTTAAATTACAGGTGTGAATTTTATTAGCATCTTTTGACACTAACAGAAAGCATGTGTCAAAACTTTGAATCTATAAAATCAGATTTTTCTGTGATGATCAAACAAAGCATATTTTTAAAAAGAAAATCACTTGAAAGTGTACTGCCTAATTACAATGCACTGTGCTGCTTTAGGAAGCATTGTGTTTTTTAAAATTCAGCACAGTGGGTTAATTAAGAGTGTTGGAGTCAGAGTAGGGTCCCAAACCCAGTTCTGTCAATCTACTACTTAAAGAATTATTTCAGTGAAGTGACATTCCCTCTGAGCCTCAGTTTACTTCTCTGTAATATTGGAATAGTAATGCTGCCCCTATATGGGCTGTTACAGGACTGAATAAGTTAATATACCTGGCATGCCTGGCACCCTGCCTGGCACTGGGGAAGCCCTTGGTAAACAGGGATATTATTAATATAATTGTTATTTTTGAGAGACACATGGCTGAATCAGGGGGCAGTGAATAATCATCTGGTGGGTCAGATGATCGGTGTGGCTAAAGAGGGATGAATGATTCAGACCTGTATTTCTCAAAGTGAGTTCTGTGACTGGGTGCTTGTTAAAATTGCAGATTCTAGGGTGGGGGTCCAGGAACTTGCATTTTTAGCAACTCTGATGTGCATTAAAGTATGAGATCCATTATTCATCTAAGAGCTGGGTAAGCCCCAGTCCTGGGTCAGGAGTCCTCTATTTTCCTTAGGTTCACACTTTCAGCCATGGAAACAGAAAAAATTATCTGTGTCTTCTCCCCACCCTTTTCTTCTTATCTGCTCAGAAGGATAAAATTTTCCCAAACTGTGATTGGAGGGTGAACCTAGTAATTATACAATATTGCATATTTAAAAGGTAGTATAAAATATCTTCTAATATTTGTAAAGCTTCAGACCAAAAAAAAAAAATCGATGATTATGAAATGCTCTTCTGTAATACATAGTATAAATACCTTGTTCTTCTGGCAGAGATGAGATGCTGAGTGCCTACAAGATATGGATACTTGAAGAATCTATGGATGAGCACTGTTATGTTTGCTTGGTAGGGTAAAATTGAAATTACTAAAGTATATGGGTAAAATTGGCAGAGTACTCTGAAAAGCAAGGGAGATTTTCTAGACTAGGAAAGCATTCCAGATCCAGAGACAGCTCCCTTACTGGAACACAAAAGCAGAGACTGCTGGAGGGACCAGTTAGCTGATTCCAAGTGTACCGTATTTCTTCCTGCTCTATCTTTTCAATGAAGAGCTTTTTGTTACCTAGCACATGCAGTTCTTCTTTCTGCAACCCTGACAGTGAACACCCACCACTCTGGATCATTCATACTCCTCTACCTAAATTAACAAATGGCCAGGTGTGGTGGCTCAGGGCTGTAATCCCAGCACTTTGGGAGGCTGAGGTAGGAGGATACTTTGAGCCCAGTTCCAGGAGACTAGCTTGGGCAACACAGGGAGACCTTGTCTCTACAAAAAATAAAAAATTAGCCAGGTGTAATGGCGCATGCTTATAGTTGCAGCTACTCAGGAGGCTGAGGTAGGAGAATTGCTTGAGCCCAGGAATTTGAGAGGCTACAGTGAGCCATGATTATGCCACTGTACTCCAGCCTGGCAACAGAGCAAGATCCTGTCTCAAAAAGAGAACTGGGCATGGTGACTCATGCCTGTCATCCCAGCACTTTGGGAGGCTGAGGCAGGCAGATTGCTTGAGCTCATGAGTTTGAGGCCAGCTTGGGCAATATAGTGAAACCCCATCTCTATTAAAAATACAAAAATTAGCCAGGTGTGGTGGTATATGCATATAGTCCCAGCTACTGAGGCTTAGGTGGGAGATCTCTTGAGCCCAGGAAGTGGGGCTGCAGTGAGCCAAGATCATGCAACTGCACTCCAGCCTGAGTAACAAAGACCCTGCCAAAAAAAAAAAGAAAAAAGAAACAAATGGCCCTTTCTGAGGGGCAGCTCAGATCTGTCAGAAAATAATGATACTGTTGACCATCTAATTGTAGGTCTTTATGCTTAATGAGTATCTGAGGGTGGGAAAGTACATTTAATCAGATCTGGAGCATAGACTTGGGTAAGTACTTATTTGAAAATCTGAGTATTTATTTGAAAGGCTTTGAAAATTCGGTGTGATCATCTCAATTACTAGGCATGCATTAGTGAGCAATGACATGAATGAGAAAAGTGAGTTAAATACATTTTCCTTGTGCCCTAAATGGTATTATCCTTTCTTTTCTTAATGGTTTGATATGTATAGAGGAAAAGGAGGCTCCTTTTGGTCACTCCATTATGAAAGAATCCCCAGGGAGGCTGACCCAGCTGTAGTGGCCAGAAGGGATGGTTTTTTACCTTTGCACTTTCTGGATACTCTTCTGGGGTTCGGTGCAGCAAGACGTGCCCTTTGTTGGGGATATTTAGATATAAACAGTTTGCTGCTGTATCATCAGGCACAGTGAGTTTGTCGTAGCGGTGATCACTCATCTGTTGCATGATCTATAAAGAAAAACAAAGCAGGCCTAAGCAGAGCATCTCCCCATACTCTCAAACAGAAGGAAGACAGTGTGGTAGAATACAAGCTTGTAACTGATGCTTTAGGCTGTTCCTCTGTTCAAGCTCCCATCTATTACCTCCAGTCACTTAGAACCAGACAAGGAAAACTTGATTAGGCTATGTCTTTGGAAGAATTGCAAGGGTTTTTGTTGTTCTTTAAAAGTATGTGTTTGTCTCTCTTTTTCTCTCTTAAGGTTTTCAAACTGTCTACTATTTTTCTAGTCTTTGTTCATAAGGCTTATCAGTAAGATGCAAAATGGCTACATGTAAGGCTCAGCAGGAGTTTTGATATCTTTGGCTGAGTAAGCAGGGCTGCCTCCTCTACAGGAAAGAACCGCCATGCCAGTAATCAGAATAGTCAATAAATCTGAATCTCATTTAGCAATAACACCACACATGTGCACACATACATGTACACACACACACACACACACACACACACACACACACACACACTTTGCTCTTCCATATACTTTTTTGGGAGACAGAGTTTCACTCTTGTTGACCGGGCTGGAGTGCGATGGCACAATCTCGGCTCACTACAACCTCTGCCTTTCAGGTTCAAGCAATTCTGCCTCAGCAACCCCCCCCCCACCAAGTAGCTGGTATTACAGACATGTGCCACCACGTCCAGCTAATTTTGTATTTTCAGTAGAGACAAGGTTTCTCTATGTTGGTCAGGCTGGTCTCGAACTCCCAACCTCAGGTGATCCACCTGCCTTGGCCTCCCAAAGCGCTGGGATTAGAGGCATGAGCCACTGTGCCTGGCCTGCTCTTCCATATACATTTGAGCTGAATTCATCTGTTCATTGGCAGGTGATGCCCTTAATACAATGAACATGAAAACCACCTGGGGAGAATGAGAAAATCATATTCCCAGGCTTCACCTTAAGGAATGCTGGTTTGGCAAATTCTGGGTGAGGCAGAAGAATTTTGCATTTTGAAAGCTCTACAGATTATTTTGAGGTAGAGGGTCCCTGGACCACAACTGGAGGAAAAAAAAAAAACTACTTGGCAGGTCTGTTCTCCAAATGATGAGCTTATTAGTATCTTAGCATAAAATAACTTAAAAAACAACACAAAAATGAACTCTGCACAAAGTTTAAAATACAACATCAAAACTCTCAAAAAAAATAACACTCCTCCCCCTAAACAACAAAACAATACAAACAAATATTATTTGGGGCTTAGTCATGTATGCTCTTTCTATCCTTTATCAGTATCCATACATTTTAAAGGAATCTGTTGAAATGTCATGCCAGGAAGGTATAACATGGTCTTTTCCATAATCCGGCTCTAATCTACCTTTACAGTCCCATCTACTTTTACTTTTCAGTGTTTGTATGGAAATGTGCTTCATATTACTAGGCATACATTCCCACTCAGTCACGGGGCACTGGATAGTAAGATTTATGGTATGAAGAGCAGAAGAGAGACAGCATGCTTCCCGTAGAAAATTCATTCCTAAGAGTGGCACACAGTAAGCTCCTCCTGACTTACCAGTTAGGTAAATCATTCACTTCTAGTGTGGAATATGTCAAGGATGGAGAGAGGCCAAGAGCCATCCCATAATGGAATACCCTTCACATGGAAGGAACATCAGGAATGGGGATGAGCTGAAGCACTGTATGAAAGGCTGAGACCCAGATGAACAGGACACAGACTCGGTTTTCCAAGAGATTACAGTTTAGTGGAGGACACTGATAGAAAATTAGATAATTATATTACAATAAGGACTAGCAGGGCACCACACCAAACATTTTACATTTATTATCTAATCTAAAAATTCCCATTTTACAGATGAAGAAACTGGACTGAGAGAGATCAAATAACTTGCTCAAGGCCATTCAAACCCAGATCTGTGCAACTCAAAATGTTTCCTAATCATTTCACTTTGCTCTTTCTCAACTCCTGTAGCAGCAAACTACCTCCTACAAACTACATAACACCTACTTTTTCACATTCACTTGGCACTTATTATTTATTCTCTGGCAGCACCATTAATCCTTTTCTTGTACGTAATCCTATTATGACCTGGTACAGTCTGGTATAGGTAAAGAACTGGATATCTCTCTTGCACTTTTTAATTTAAATTGTTCCTTGAAGGGATAGGTCCATAGAGGGGACCACCTATGGAGTGGGTCCATCTTTAAAGCCCTAATTAGAAATCTTAGATCTAATCCAACATGTGGGCAATTAAGAAGTTATAGACACTCCTAAAGATTAACTTTTCTAAGAAACTTAACAACATATTCAATTTAGCCCTCTTTATGAAATGGATATGCCCAGAAATAATATGAAGAAGTTTGAGAGGAAAAAACCCAGACCCAAGTAGCTCTTTTGTTATGAATTGCAATTTAGTTCTTCTTATGCAGATTTTCTTTCTGGTTGTTTCCAAAACATAATAATAGCAGCTTCCACTTATTACTGTGGACAAGGGAACAGATGAAGACCCTGAGCTCTGGAGCCAGGTCTGAGTTTGAGTGTGAGTTCTAGCCTTTATTAAATGTGTAAATTAAGCTTTTCCCCCACTTCTTGGTTTCCTCACCTATAAAGTTGGAATAACAAGTCTTTCATATACTTATTGTGAAAGTTAAATGAAGATAATGTATAGATTAGGTACAGTAATAAAGCCTTAATAAGATGTTAGTATTTTATGACAGCATGACCAGACAAATGAGGTTCAAGATTATAGTCTGCAGTCCTGTCTATTATTCTGGCAGACTTTAACCTCATTCGTAACCTGGCTGAGTGTGGTGGCTCATGCCTGTAATCCCAGCACTTTGGGAGGCTGAGGCAGGTGGATTGTTTGAGCCCAGAAGTTTGAGACCAGCCTGGGGAACATGGTGAAACCTTGTCTCTACAAAAAATTAGCTGGGTATGGTGGCACACATTTATAGTCCCACTCCTCAGGAGGCTGAGTGGGACGATTGTAGAGGTTGCAGCGAGCCAAGATAGTGCCACTGCACTCCAGCCTGGGCCACAGATAGTCTGTGTTGGAGTCCAATCCTTACTCTTAAAAACCACAAAAGACTAGACTTACTATATTCTCACAATTACTTCTTCAGCTTCCTTCTTTCTAAGGTCTACGTTAACATGTAATCTAGCAGTGTTGCAGGCTTAGCATCCCTTCTGCCTAGATCCCCTAGAGAGAGAATTGCTATAAAGTTCCCAAATTTTTCAGAATAAGGACAAATTTTACTATGAGTTTTTGTGCAGTTTCTCTCTCTCCAACCAGACTGCTGGCTCCTTGAATGCAGGTCCAGGCATAATGAGGTGGACAGAGTCTGGGCTTTAGAGTCGGAAATGTCTGGGTCTGAAGCCTTGCTCAGCCACACGCTAATTGTGTGACTTTGGGAACCTCACATATGCCCTCTGAGCCTCAATTCCCTCAGCAGTAAAATGGGATGGGAATGCTATACCTATCCTCCGTAGGGTAACTCTGAAGATTATTTAAATAACAAAACAAAACAGATAATGTACATAAAATGTTTAGTACAAGTTTCCAGCAGATACTAAATGTGTAATAAATGTCAGTTCACTTCACTCTTTGTTTCTTGCAAGTCACTTGGCATATAGCAGGTGACCAAAAGATGTTTGCACTCACTGTTTCATTTCTTCATTCCTTTCACCTTTTCAAAGGCTATGAAGAACCTCAGGAGGGCACTGTGATGAGCTGTGTGGTCAATCACATGGGTAAACAACTGAATTCTCTCAGAGAAACAAAGTACAGTCTATGTCCAGAAACAGAAATACATTATTTTTAATGTGAAAAAATATGTCTAAAAGGAACAAGGCCAAGGTTTGTCTGTTTTTCAAAGCCATTCAGAAGGGCACTACACTCTGGTCCTAATTCAAATGAGTATGGATGACAAAGTAAGACAACAGGGGGTAGACCTGGACTTACTTACAGAGTATGTAGCACCTAAGGGCATTCAAAGAAAGAAAGGAAAGAGAAACCTTTGTGTATATCAAACTGAACACATAAACCTCTGTCAGGTTGTGATCCCAATTTAGTAAAACAGTCCAGAAACCCAATGGGCAGATTGACTTCTTCATAGTAGACTGGGGCTGCCTCAATGTGCAAAGTGGCAGTTAGGATTTCTGAAGTTTCTAGACAATCGCTTTTGGTCAGTCTCACAAATGTGCTTTTTTCCAGATGCAGGGAATGGGATTCCACTATGTCTGGATCTCTGTTTATTATGTGCTGTTACGGGTTGACCAAGATGGCTAGTCTGCTCATGTTTGCAGTCCGAACTGGATGGTCATCCCGTCACATGAATTACACCTAGTTTACCCGAGAAGTTCAGGATTTCTTCCAGACTGCTGTTCTTTGAGCTAAAGGTTTACTAAGTAGGACCCCAGTGACTTGAGGACTCCAGAGAGATCCTTACAACATGTATGCACAGCCACTGCTACCTGGTCAACCTAGACACAAACAACAAAATCTAGAAAATCGATTACTCCCATTGACTTACTTTTCTAAGCAATTGGGAGAATTGTGTCTAGCATATTTTGGCCCATACATTTGGGCTGAGTGCTCCCACCACTCATAATCACCAGATAACTTCCAGTTGGTTTCCCAGTTTAATTCGTGGTCGGCAGATGCTTCACTGTACTCTTTATCAACAGATAAATCACCCATGTCTCTTAGTACCAGATGAGTTGAAAGAGAAAGAAGCATGGCCAGACCACATTTCCTAGGCCTGACTCTATTCATTGGATCCACAGCAGTCTGAGCAAATCCCCCACCTCTCAGCATGACTCATGCATGTCCGGTGGTGACTACAAAGCAGAAGCATGGAATGTTGTACATTCCAGAGGAAGTGTTCTCAGGGATTGTTATCAGTGCTGACTTCTTGTTTACCAGTGAGGAAACAAACTAAAATCTCCAAGGTTGTGCCCATCTCAGGAAGCACCACGTGTCACTGGAGTGACGGGCC